TAGGGATTGGGCCTGCCCTCTGCCACCCGGGAGCAGGCCTAAGCCAGCAGGTCGTTATCTCCCGAGGGGTCCCAGACTTCGAGAGGGCACAGGCCGGGCTGGGGGACCCCCCCTCCCCCGCCCCCCGAGTGCACAAATTTTTGTGCACCGGGCCTCTAGTATAGGATAAGCAGCACATAAAAACAATAGGTATATTAAGATACTAGAGGTCCGGTGCATGAAAATTCATGCACTGGAGGGGGGGGGGTCCCTCAGCTAGGCCTTCCCCCTCTCACAGCCCAGGAGCCCTCAGGGGTGGGAGGCGACCCGGCAATCAGGAGAAGGCAATACCTCATCATACCTCTGCTGCTGCCACTGCTGGCAGCGCAAACCTTAGCCGGCCCTGGTTACCTGAGCCTTCGGCGGCTGGGCAGCCGCCATCCAAAGCTTGCCTGCGCCTCAGGCTGGCCTTTGGCAGCTGGGGGGCTGAGGGGACTGGAGGACTGCGGAGGCAGGTACGCGGAGCGGCCAGGCCTGCCTGGGGGTGGACCCAGCCTTGCTGCACGCCTGCCGCCCCGGTGAGGCTGAGGGGACTGGGCGCCTCCATCTTGTGGCTGTGGGTGCCGTCATCTTTGAGGCCGTGGCAGTCAATTAGCATATTCCCACTTTATTAGATAGAATAATGGACATAATATACAATTCACTCATTTAAGGTGTACAATTCAGTGGTTTTAGTATATTCAGACATTTGTGCAATCATCATCACAGTCAGTATTATAATATTTTCATTCCCCCAAAGAGCCCCAATAACCATTAGCAGTGATTCCTCATTTTCCTCCAGCTCCAGTTCCAGCATTAGGCAACCACTAGCTCTTCTCTATCTATGTGGATTTGCATATTCTGAACATATCATATACATGGAGTTATACAACATGTGCTCCTTTATGACTAGCTTCTTTCACTTAGCACGGTGTTTTCAAGGTTCTTCTATTTTACAGCAGGTATCGGTGCTTTATTTCTTTTTGTTGTTCAGTATATTTCATTGTATGGATATATATCACATTTTATTTTTTCCATTCATTAGTTGATGAGCGTTTCTGACATTTCCACTTTGTGGCTATTATAAATAATGTTATGAATGTGCCCTTGTTTTAAAATATTAGATCTTTCAAATCACAGTTTTACTCTCAAATATACTTTTCATTACTTGAGAATTATCTGGTAGTTATTATCTAGAATATGAAGTCAACTCTGCTTCTTTCAGTTGTAAGGAATAGAAATTGATGGTGGCTAAATAGATTACTGCCTGCCTGTTAGTGTGAGGTAAACTGCTATATTCACTATATTGGAATTATTTTTTATAAAATAGATATTTGGTGCTTGAAAAACTGAAGAAAGAAGATGCTGACCGAATTCATGTATTCAGTTCTTTTTTCTACAAACGCCTTAATCAGAGAGAAAGGAGAAATCTCCATGAAACACCTAATCTATCGTAAGTCAAGCTCTTTGAAAATGTTGAACAGATGTAATAAGTTGCTGAAATTTAACTCAGTAAAAAATCACTTATTTGTGCCCTGGTCAGTGTGGTGTAGCTGGTTGAGAGTTCTCCCATGCACCAAAAGGGTCCCACGAACCAAAAAGTCACCAGTTTGATTCCCAGTCAGGGCACATGCCTGGGTTGCTGGCTCAATCCTCTGTAGGAGGCAGCTGATCAATATTTCTCTCTCTCTTTTCCCCTCTCCCTCTAACATCAATGAAAACACATTTTTTAGAAAATCACTTATTTGTATTGAGGCAACATAATCTGTTATTAACAAAATCATAATATTGGATTGTATCCAATATAAAATGTGGATCAATATCCACAATATTCTAAAACCTTAAGAATATGTAGAATTCATAAAGGTTTTAGGTGTAATATTTAGATCAGTATTTTCCCAATATGCCTGATGATTTTTAAAAAATTACTTGGATACTTATCAAATATAGATTGCTTTATTTTACCCTAGATATTCCATACTATCTATGAAAGAAACTGTGAATTTGTGCTTTTTTTTTATCCTCACCTGAGTATATTTTTCCATTTATTTTAAAGAGAGTGGGAGAGAGAGGGAAAGACAGAGAGAAATATTGATGTGAGAGAAACACATCAATTGGTTGCTTCCTACACTCGCCCTAACCAGGGCCCTGGCCAGGAAGGAGTCTGCAACCTAGGTACGTGCCCACGATCGGAATCCAACCCGGTACCACAGGCCGGTGCTCTATCCAGTGTGCAAAACTGGCTAAGGCAAGCTTGTACTTTTAGTAAGTTCTTTGGATGTTTCTTCTCAGATAAGTTAAGGAAATACTATATTCTACATATTAGGCCTGATAGGCCTGTGTACTTTTATTTATAATTCTCCTTTAATGATTGCATCCAGCTCTAATACTTACTTAGTAATTGATCAAAATATACACATAAAGAGTTGGTATTTTTTTTTTATCATAAGTTGCTGTTAAATGCTTAAATTGAAGGCTGATGTGGATAACACAAATAGTATTATCCACTAGTTCAGTGATTCCTAATTTTCATCTTAGAGTTGATGATAGTGATTGATTTTGACCAGTGGTCATAGTGTATTCTTCTTCATCTACTGTAAGATAATGTTCACTTTTCTCGCTCTTTCTTTTGCTGTTCTCATTGGTCATGGTCTGATTTGCTTCTCAATCTGATTGCTTGTGCCATTTCTGCAGTAATAAACAATAATAGCACTGATTTACTCTAGTATATAGTAGCAGGAATTAAATATCTTTCTTCCAGATTCAGTGATGGGCAGTTTCTAGCTCTATCTCAGATATTTTGTTTTCTTTCTCCAGCTTGTTAAATCATCTTTTACAACTATTCTGTTAGCAGCTTAATATTCGTAATTTATAAATCGTTGCATATAAGTTGAAGCACTAGGAACATTTCAGAAACTTGATAGTCTATGTCTTGTCTTACAGAATACAGCAAAAGCGGCATGGGAGAGTAAAAACATGGACCCGGCATGTAGATATTTTTGAAAAGGATTTTATTTTTGTACCCCTTAATGAAGCGTGAGTAAGAATTCCCTTTCTGTAAATGTGACAATTTTTAGAAAATGTGTTTAGGATGTGAAGATTTCATCCATTTTAAACTTCTTGAAATTTGTTCTGTATGTCTATACTTATACTGCTTTTTTAATGATAATTGATGCAGTTTTCCAGTAAATCATATAAGATACTGAATTTTACAAACACTAGATGAGATATTTCTAATTTTGTTTTATTGGTCAATGTAGAATAATGTTAATTTTTAAAATGGTGCTGCTTGTGGTCTAGCAAACATCATATAGAAAAACCTACTTTGCCCTAGCCAGTGCAAGCACGCATGTACAGTGCGATTGAAACTTCGTGGCCATGCGCAGAAGTCAGTATTTTGTGGAAGAGCCACACTCAAGGGGCCAAAGAGCGCATGTGGCTCGCGAACCGCAGTTTGCTGACCACTGCCCTAGCCGATTTGGCTCAGTGGATAGAGCGTTGGCCTACAGACTGAAGGATCCCGGGTTCAATTCTGGTCAAAGGCACATGTCCGGGTTGCGGGCTCTATCCCCAGTGGGGGGCGTGCAGAAGGCAGCTGATCAATCATTATTTCTCATCATTAATGTTTCTATCTCCTTCTCTCTGAAATCAATAAAAATATGTTTAAAGAAAAAGAAAAGGCTACTTTATACAGAAAGATGATTAGGTCCCATAGAAGAATTTGAATTCTTAGTTTAAAACACATTTAGGCTCTTAACCAAGAAAAAGAAGAAAAGGTAGGTAGCTAGATTTTTGTCATTTTCTCAAGTGGAAAACCATGCTGACTACGCAGTTATTTTCTAAGTAAAGGGGGTAGTTAAACATTTTGTGTTATTTTCCCCCAAAAGAGGCATTGATTTATAGGATAGTATTATTAGACTTAAATTTGTTTGTATTTCTTTTGTTGTTGTTGTTTTCCAATGCTCTCCAATCAAACATCCCCAGGAATACACCTGTAGTTGGATAATTTTGGGCTTATTACTTGTATCAAAGGAGAACATATACCATAGACAACCATGGAGCCTCTCAGTGCAAGTGTGTTTGAAAAAGCCTATAACAAAATTTGGGCTTTAGTTTGGTGATTTGGGGAAAGATCTAAGAAAGCAGTGGTTTGCTTGGGTAAAGAAGTAGCATTCACTCAATGAGCAAAAAAGGGAATTTTGATATTTGGGGGGTTGGTTTTTGTGACCTTGTTTGTCTCTGCTTAGACAAATTATGAAATGGCCTAGCCTTTGCCTCATTTTATTATGGTTGCAGAGTAGCCTTGTCTGAGGTTGATGTTCTGTGAGATTTATGTCTAAGTCTAATAAGCTTAGCTGTGCCAGGCTAGCTTCTGAATATTTTTTTTCTCACTATGAAAAACAAATTCACTGTACAGTATAATCAAGCTATATTTATTTAAAACCCTGCTTTAATTATAACATTTGTGCTCTCTAATTAGCTCAGCCAAAGATAGGTAGGCTAGGTCAAAATATTGGTTATGGCGATAAAGCCCAACTTTAATATATATATACATATATAAAGTCAAACACTTTAAAATTAATCTTCACTTTCTTCATTCTTCTCAAAATAAGGTTTCTTGCCATATATTTGTTATATAAAGTAATATGTGAGCTGCCTAATAGGTGAAATGGAGACTATCTACTTATATAAAAATGATGGGTGGTGTTCATCACGACCTGAACCGCAGCGACTAAGCAGAAGGAAGTCAGTCCCTCAGGGGTTGTCTTGGCAACGGCTGTGCCCTCCCCTGAGCTGTTTCCCAGAGCTGTTTCCTGTAAGGGCAGGGTTTGAGGCAGGAACCTGCCTTGGGAGTGTGGAGGCATATCTTTCTAAAGTGTGCCGCGCCAGCACGAAAGGCTTAAAGACAGACAAGAGAATGAAAGCTGGGTCTCGGTGGGACGCTGCTTCTCTGAGAGACAGCTACCACACCCACAGCCATGCTGCCTTTTTATAGCAGATGCTACGAGGCAAAGTAAGGGCGTGACAAAGATGTTCACAACATTTTCCTGGGATTCAATCCTACTCAGCTACATGCACCTGAACTCTATCAAGCCTACATGACTCAGGCATGTGCGGCCATGTGTTCGGACCATAGGTTCAAGCTTACAACTACAGCTGTTGCCTATAATTGTGCTGGGAGGGCCCTGCCCTCCAAGCTGGAACTTGCACATTGCAATGAGAGGACTGTGCCCTCTCATCAGTCCAAGGCTTGAACCTGTCCAAAACACTGTAGCGGCTCCCCACAATAAAGTTTTAATTCTGTTTCTTTGTTACTAATGTTGTGGCCCCACCCCATAACAAAGAAACAATTTCTGGAGGATGAGGCCCAGGAATCAGGATTTTAAAAAGATTCCCAGGTGATTCTAATGTGCAGCCAAGGTTGAGAACCACTGCTATAGATAATATTAAAAATATATCTAAATGTGCAATTCTTTGTCCAAAAAATGAGCATGTTCAAAAATTAAATGAAGAAAATTTGGATATACTCGATGGAGATTTTCACACATATTTGAGTGATGATTCCATTGATTCCACAGATGATGCTGAAAAGGAAAATTTTCCCATCGAATTTCTTAATAGTATTACTCCTTTGGGAATGCCATGTCATAAATTAAAATTGAAAGTGGGTGCAATCATCATGCTATTGAGAAATCTCAATAGTAAATGGGGTCTTTGTAATGGTACCAGATTTATTATCAAAAGATTATGACCTAACATTATC